CGCGCGGCATAGTGCGGCCGTGCGACAACCTGGAGAACGGAATCAGCGTGTCGACAACAGGCCGGACTACGTTTATGATGGACGCGATAAGAAACGAGGCCCGTGGCTGTCACTGGCGTGTCTCATTAGCGGTAAACGGTTCGGTAGAGATGTATCTAGCGCCGAAACTAGCCTGGGCTTTCACTCGCGCCGCTGATTTACCGATCGGGCGCCCTTCAATTTACGTCGCACCTAGGTCGCGTCGTGTTTCGCCCCGACCACGAAACCAACGCTACGCCGGATACGCGGAGAGATAGGAAGCGTGTAAATCAAACCGTTCACCGTGAGCCGCGCGCGGCTCAGCTCCGGATCGTTAAAAGCGCCACTCGCCGCCAATTTCCCGGGGACGCCGGCCATAAAGCGTCGAGAAGGCGTTCTCTTCGCTTGCGTCACGATAATGGACCGATATGAACAATATCGCACGATCGGGCGTATAATACTCCGACGCGATGATTTTACGAGACTCTCGCCGCCACTGCTTGTTGAAATTTGCGTAATTATTGGTGCAGTGGAAAATAGAGAAATGCGAAGTAAGAAATGGGCGAAGGAAGTCTTGTGATGGCGGAAGGAAAGTAAAAAGCTTCGAATTTTATATTTCTGAATTTTCAAATTTTCGAATATTTGAATATCTGGATCTTCGAATCTTCGAATCTTTAAATTTTCCTATTTCCAAATGCATGGAAACCCAAGCCGCTACTGGCGATTGAAATTCAACTTTTCTCCTGTTTACGTTCCACTTGGGCTCTTTTAAAAATTCACCGACAACGCACCAGTGGAAATTCTACTCATGTAACTGTTCATAAGAAAACGACAAAGAGTAACGTTACAAATAGGAGTGTCCAGCTGGTATCGATGCGATCGAACGGAAGAATTCATAATAAACGATCGAACGCGAAAGAAGTACTCTTGTACCGGATGCCATCAAAGTGACAGACGCCTGGTACGTGACTGACGAAGCCTCGTTAATCCTAGTTCCTACTACTAGCGCGTATACCGTGCAACGCACACGGACTTCTTTCACGCGTAATGCGCGTACGAAGAAAACACGAAGACGGCGAGAGATTAGGTGAGCTTGAAGAAAGTCAGCTTGAGATCCATTTCGATCTCGTTACAGACCGAAAAAATGCTTTAGTAAACTCGTTTCCGGTTATGTACATACGTTCCGCGTTACTTGTTTGATATTCGTGGTCAATGAGCAAGCCTAACCACTTTCAGGTGAAACAAGATATTAATCTTTTAACAAGTGAATGTACGAATTAAGT